AGTGCCTTGTTTTCAGGCCGAATTATGTGAGTATTTCGTAAACTATATGTAACCTGGCAATTGTTAAGTGACAAAGTGTGTCAGTGTGTGTTTTTCATGTCAATTTGGCTTTAATAGTGATACATTTCTTAGTTGGTAGTCATGACTAGTTTGTTCATAATTTGTGCATTGCCACTCTGTGTTCCTGCAAAATATGCTGGTATATTGATAGAGACCAGTAGAGTCTAGAGGTGCTAAGCCCTTACAGAGCCTAAGGGATTAAGCCCCGGCTCTTTTGCCATACTGTATTATACCAACAAATTTGTTTTAAAAAATGTATCCTTTTTTGATCTGATGAGTCCTGGTCAAAGAAAGCTCAGCCTGCCTGCCCGATGGAGCTTAGTCCTCCTTTGCCCTCTTTCCTGCTGGTGCCTCCACCGCATATGACACAGTACTAACCTTCACACTTCTACTAAAATAATCCAATAATAATTCCACATCACATGTTTTTGTAACATTTTTTTCTCTGTTTTTGTCTTTCAGTGTTATTCATTACTCAGATAGGATTCATCATACTTGGTAGTATATGTTATCATAAATCCAATGACTGTGAACGGAAAATAATTGGAAATGCTGTATTAGGTGAGTGTACAGTTTAAAATAATTCATTATAAAATGTTAAGTCATTACTCGGATGAAACTTTGAATCGTAATTCAAAAATTGTTTTTAAATTTAAAACTTCAGTAAAAAACAGTACAAAAACGTTGAATAGAAGCCCGAGCTTTTTTTAAGACCTTGGATGGACTTCCTTTCGAGATGAGCTTCTTTTCGAGATTACTTTTGCACACAAAAAGAGGGTGCTTCTTTTAAAAATGAATGCTGTAAATATTTGGAATTACTGCTATATGACATTTTTTGAACTATGAAATTTGAAATTGTTTTTAATATTTTTAAAATTTTAACCTTGCTAGTACAATAAATTAATAGTAATACCCACATGCTATCATAATTGTCATCATAATCAAACATAACGTCCGTCGGAATGTAAGTACTATCTGGAAAAGAAGCCTATACTATCTTGGTTAGAAGCCCATGGGCTTCTTTTCAAGATGGACTTCTTTTCGAGATTGCTGTACTTTTGCAAATAAAGAGGAGGCTTCTATTCGAGATGGGATCTTCTCAATATTAAGTCCATTGGGCTTCTATTCAAGGTTTTATGGTATATTATTTTTTGTTACACAGTAGAAATGAATCATAGCAAATTTCTAAAATGTTATGAAATTATAACATAACATTTATTTTTATTTGAATAACTAAAATATTTTTAATTCATTAAAGTGAAAATTTAGAGTTTTTTTTGCACAATATAAGTAGCTGTATTTATATTAATATTTGTGTCTAGAACTGTTCACTAGCATAAGATTACAAAAAGTTGGGAAAAATACATTGATTGTGATTTTACTGAAGTATATAGAGTAAGTTGTAGACACGTTAATGTTAAAGTAGCGGCATTACTGTTGTAAAACAGCCATTATATATGCTCCAGGACAACTGGCGAGGAATATTTAACTGCCTGTAAATAACTCAAGTTGTATTACTCACTCTGAAAATGTGATCATAATATTTTATTATGTAAATTTTGTGATTTTCGTTTGGTTGGGGATAACGATAAAAGCTAAAAGCGACTGTTCATATAGAAAAAAAAAAAGAGATTTTTACACTAGGATGATTAGATAACGATTTATCGTGTATACGATAACAAAATATTTTTACAAATCAATTCAAATGACATCATAATCATGGAAAAACGATAAAATCGTTTTGGTTTTCAATTATACAATATATATAGGCTTCTTTTCCAGATAGTACTTACATTCCGACGGACGTTATGTTTGATTATGATGACAATTATGATAGCATGTGGGTATCACTATTAATTTATTGTACTAGCATGGTTAAAATTTTAAAAATATTAAAAACAATTTTAAATTTCATAGTATACAAGATATAAAACTTCTTATTTCTTGTATTTTCTATATGAATAATTGCTTCTTGCTTTTTGTTGTTACCGTTGCAAGCATAAACAGGCCTTTAGAACTAAAAGCAGTATGATATCCAGGGAGTCTTACCCACTTCAGTCTGATCATATTTGAGGCTGAGGTGTTGAAGTTTTAAAAATTTGTGAAAAATTACTTTTTTCCCATAAAAATATTAGAATTCATTCCTCACCCCTTCCATAATCTGCACCAATTACCAGTACACTGTATGTGGACAGGCTAGAGTGGCTGTAAAGCAAGATTTGACCTATGTATATTCAAGCAATATGTTTACTCTAAAGCGTTCTGTATTATTTTGATTGATTTCTATTCATGTTGAAGTGTCAATGCCCAGGAAGTATTTGTGTGTTTTTGTGTTTTTTTTTTCCTGGCTGTATTCAATTACATTGACACAGAAATAATTTATTGTCACTGTCAGATCAATAAAATGACTCATTCCTCATAATGCAGATATATAAAATATAACAAACAATATTAAATTGTTGAAATCATTTCTGATGATTTTTCAATTGAAAGCCAATAATTTAATTTTACAACATGAAAAATTAAATATAGAATAATGTCCGTAATCTTTCTCAATGTGATAGAGTTATAGGAGCATAGACAAATCAAATAAACAACATTCTTCCACTGGTAAATTCTGTGGTTATCCAAAATGAGTCACTTTGTTAAAAAAAATATTTTATTAAATAGAAAGTCTAATGCTAATTGATTTTAGCTGTATACACAAATTGAATAAGCTACAGAAGTTGCGGCATATTTTTATAGGAAATATTTCTTGTTTAATTTTAATTTTACATTTGGAGTTCATTGATATAACTTCAGCAGCATACAATATCTAGAGATATTTCATGGTAGGAGAAGATTAATGGAAACATGAAGTGGAAAGTGATGGGCCTGGGAGCTTGTATCCATGTGCGTCCAAACTAGATGAACAACTTGCCATCTTTCTACTTGACTGCATTTATAAGAATGAGCAAGGTTCTGTTTGACTTGTGAGATGAGAAGAATTTGTTATACTGCCCTCTATAGTATTGCTATGCTTTGTTAGCTGAGAAAATAGGTGATTGATACTGGCAATGTTTATTATAGTTTATAGATATTTTATAGTAGTAGTGAATAAGTGGTATATAAACCCTAGTAATTTTAATTATCTTTTTACAATCAATATTTTTGTGATCAATCACCCTGACTTCATAATTATAATCATTTCAATAAATATTTAGTACCATCACTATCAACATTGTCACTACTGCTATCTTTGTAATCATTGTCGTCGTCATCGCCACCACCTGCCGTTGATGCCATCCTAGTTGTCATCAAGTACAATTATTAGGCTATATATTTATCATCATCATCAGGTTTTCATTACCACCATCATCATTTTAATTACCATCATAATCATCACTATCAACATGTCAACATCTATTTTCATCATTTAAAATAATTTATAAAAATATTACAATTATAGCATTTTAGAACATTAAAGTCACATTTAGTAAAATTGTTGATATTGGTAGTAGCTTATACACAAATCATCAAAGTCCTTCCTTAATCACAAAAAAAAGTATGCTGTTTAATTTCATAGATCCATGACACTTCCAGTAATCTCTGTAACATTAAAAATGTTATTGTTTAAAATTTTTATTATATAAATTAATATAATGTTATAATTATATAATGTATCTGCAGTTCCCTCTATCCACCCAGGAGTACAAGTGGGTTACTGGTAGGTTCCAACAAAACTGCGCTGATTACTAGCTATAATATTATGGAATAATAATATAATTTAATTTAATAATTTAATTTGGTATTCAGTATGTGTTCAATATGTGATCCAGTGAACAGGGTAGTAATGTGAAGTGCTTAGAGGTTTTGTGCATGAAGCGCTATATAAGAACGACATATTATTATTATAATTTTTATTATGATAATTTTAATTAGTAATACAGTAATGAAAATACTTCCATAAATTAAGTTTATTATATAATAAATGAAATCAAGTTCAAGCATGAACTATTGTAGCCATGCAGTAAAAAGTCTAATAACAATCTTTCCATTTACCTCTTGGCATTAATCTATAGTTATGCATGACTGTGATTTAGAAGTAATCATGCATGGATTGTGAAATTAGCGTCGTCTGCTATCACTGCGTATGTGACCTGTAAACATCTCAGTATCGTCTGCTATAAGATTTCATAAGTGGCATCATGCATTTTTATCTGAGTTCTAAATTGAAAGGAGTTTGCTAGAAAGAGAGACGAGAACTTGCTAATTGTATCAAAGATTTTATTTAAGTAATCAGTAAGTAGACATTCTATCTTTTAACAAATAGCTGAAAACTGTTATTTTAAAAACTGTGATTACAAAATCTCCTTAATGCAATTCAAAGCATCAAGGTTACTGGTGAAGAATAACAAATTGTATTACTTACTAAACAAAAAATATTTCCTATAAAAAAAATGCTGCAACTTCTGTAGCTTATTTAATTTGTGTATACAGCTACTTCCAAATTTATCCTATGTGTAAATTTTTAGTATTAGGCATCTGTTAAGTAAAAACCTGTATTGTCAAATATATGTAATATTCGCCCTATTTGTGAATGTACATGTGTACTGTAATAGTGTAGAATATGTAGTTATTTTCATTGACCTTTGACATGCATGTGCAAGTAAAACTATAAGATGGCAAGACATTTTTTTCAATTGTAAAAATTAATGAACTACTTTCAATTTAAGTAATTAGATTATATCGTTCAAGTTCATCAAAACATCCTATATTTGTAATATATAATTAGTGTAATAGTGTAGAATATTTGGTTATTTTCCTTGACCTTTGACTTATATATGTGCAAGTAAAACTATAAAATGTCAAGAATTTTTGTTTTTTAATTGTAAAAATTAATGAATTAATTTCATTTAAAAAAAATTAGATTCTATTGTTCAGGTTTAACAAAACTTAGTATATATACAATTATTGATTATAGTAATTCATATCAATTAAGTAATCATTTATTAATTTATAATATTAATTATTAATGAATTTTTAATTAATTTGTTTCATGAGTGATGTTGACATCATATGTGTGAATGATGATATCATCATCATTAACGCCAATGCCATGACTAATCCCACCCAACAATCAACTATTATGAGTCATAGAAGCAGGAGGAGTCTTGAGGGAGTCACCATCACGTAATAAAAGCAAAATGTTATTAATGTCAGTACTGTACTCCTTTGAATAATTTGTAGTACATAATATCTAACAAACTGTGTGCTGCTCTGCTATTTAATAAAAATGTAGAGCTAATTGTACTTTGCTAAGGATATATTTGTTTGATTTATGAAAAGTGTTATTGGTAAGTTAACTTTTTTTTTTAAACAATGTTCTTATTATATTGTTCTTATATTTTTATTGTACGGTAACTAACTTGAAATCAGAGACCCTAAGATATCTTCTATTTTGCAGTAATGAACTGTAGGTATAGCTTTTTACAAGTTATTAATCAAAACATAAATCAATTGTTAGGTACAGTATATTACAAAAAGAAAACATGTCAGTGTTACTGTAGTTGGATTAATGAGCCTACTGTACTCATAAAATAGGGTGTTGCGAAGGATGATGTGATGAGTATTGAGTGCACTTTTATTGTACTGCATCGCATTTTGATACACAAATAAAGTAGATAAGTTACTTTAATTAAAATTCTATTTATTTTTTTTTCTTTTCATATTTAAATATGTATTGTCTTCTAAAAAAAGCAAAAAAATTCATAATTTTGAAATTAACTTGCTCATTTTAAAGCGACAAAAACTATCAACTTTAACGTAAATTTGTGTTGTTACAAATTTTTATCCATAATTTTACTTATAAAAATAATAAAGATGATGGAAATATTTTTATGATTTTTATCATTATCTGATATAAAAATCAGTTTAAAATCTTTATTATTATACCTTAAAATTTTATGATTTTAGAATGAACAAATTTATAATGCAGGTAAATAAATTCCATCATTTAGGAAGAGATTCCAGCAAAAAACAATAAAACATCAAGCTCAGTAATTTGAACTCAAGAATTTATTCACCGGAACATCTCATTTTTCTCCCAAATATATCTTTTTGAAATCTGATTCATATGTTTTTGTTCAGGTGGATATAAAATCCCATTGATAAAGTCTGCAAGTTGCACTTGGCTGGAGAGAGACAGGCTTTTTAATTCCAATTCCAGTAGAGCGTATAAATCAGTGTGCTATCACTAGCCTATTATCATTACGAGGATTGTCTGAAAGCTCTGTGATTCCTTGACCGGTGTTCATCGAGTCAGCATTGGTGAATAGACACACCATCGGTAAACCTGCTTTATTCATGGATTTGTAAATAGAGACAACAATTTCTGTTGAACTTTGAACATTTTGTTGCCTAATTGTGAGACAATTTGTACTAATTTATTATTGAAGGAAAAAGTAGGTTTGGATTTACTGTAAGTCATTCTCTTTAAGTAAGTTGTTTTAATATATTTTTTTACAATTGTACTACATTAGTCTGAATAGGATATTGTGCAAAATTATTACATTTAACAAATAATCATGGTACTTAACAGTATGTGTTCTGTTTTCATTTGATAAATACCTATTTCATGCTGCTAGAATGTATTGTACATTACATTATAAGAATAGATTTATATTATTTTGCTTTATATTTTATAATTTAATTTTGAATTCATATTATCATTCGGATGAAATTGATTGTTGTGATATTTGCATATTAACAAAATATTTTGCTATTCATGATTGAAGATCAAAGATTATTTTTTAATAATTAGTGGCTTTTGGAGCAAATAATAGTTGAAATGAATTGATTACAACAAACATTTTCATTTCAATTTATTTTTTATGTTAAATATTAATGTATCATCCATTCTAACAGTTTTTAAATGTTTTTCTTAGTTAACTACTTGATTATCACAATCATAATGTTTTATGTTTAACCATTGTCATATTTTCAAAGAATTAAATGCATTTGAAATGTATGGTATTCAGGGCTGTTTATTTTGCAGAGTGCCGTTTCAATGGTTATAATATGCTGGTAGCAACATTTGTCTGTTTGTGTCGTCAGTGTTATCATATTAAGATAAGTTGTTATTTTCTTTTCTTTATTCTAGGTATCGTCATTTTTAATGGAATTGTAGTGCTCCTTGTTTTGGTAACAATATGGTGTGTGTACGATAGAGCTGGCCGTAGTTTTGTCCAACTTCAGAAACGTGAAAAACAGACCATGCGTCACAGAACATCAAGTCGAGTTCAGAAACAGGAATTGAGATTAAGGTAAATTTATCATCATTAATTCCTCTGGCTGGCAGTTGTGGATCCTTAATTGGAATCTACAGCTCCTTTGTCATTTTGACTCGGTTTCATTACATTCTGAAAAAAAATAGCTGCTATACATCTTCTTCCTTTTTCCTGTCTTTGGAGAAAAAGGAAAAATGAACATTATTTCTCTTTTCTGTCATTTTGATTGAGCAGTTTTATTAGATTCTGCAAAAGTTGCTATAGTATGTTTTCTTATTTTTCACCAGTTTTTGGAAATCTGGATTTGTACTCCTATATTAAAAATTAGCAATACTTGGTTGTAAACTGTCACAAATTGAGTAGAGGTAGGATGTAATTACTAGGTGCGCCATATGATCAAAATCAGATTTGACTATTTATTTAAAAAGCAGTTTTATTTGTATCATTCAATACCACACAAAGGAAGAATGTACAGTAACCTTAACCTAGGATATCCAAAGGTCTAAGGTAATTATCACACTAGTTCTTTTCAACAAAAGACTGTAGGCCTCTATTTGTAAATTTAGTGTTCTTCAGTAGAATTATAAAAACAAGAACTTGTTTTTGTGGAAAAGATCCTGCGGCACACTTACTGTAATCCATTCACCTTCAATTTTTCTATGTCAGTTTATGACCTTTTTGTAAATAATCATCTTCTGATATGGAGCTTTATGTTGATTATCTCCCATCCTATTGTTAGTATTTTATATTGTTTAGATTTGGGTGAAGAATATAGTATAAATAAAGCTGAGATTAACTAAATATTTTAAAATTCTTTTTGTACTTATATTGACCTGCAAAGCTTTGTAAAAAAGTACACTTAAAAAGAAACTGTTGTAAATAATATGAAAGTGTTACTAGATTTTGTGTTTAATTAACAACATGAACCTAGGAAAGATTCCACTCATCACCAGTGACTTTCTCATTTTGTGTTCTAGTCATACCAACCGAGTGTTGCGGTAATCTTGAGTTAATATGCATAACGCCTTTCTTTTGAATGGATCAAGCATGCTGAGAGAGCCAAACTAAATATTTTTTAACTCTTTTTGTAGTTGCATTGACTTACAAAGCTGTGTCAAAAAGCACACTTTATAACGAAACTGTTGTAAATGGTATGAAAATGTTACTGTTAATAGTACAACATCAGAAGAGTCAGACATAAAAAACGATTTTCTGCTTAATTTGTGATAAAGAACATGAACCTATTAGGACTGATGTACTCATTAGTGACTGTCTCATGTTGTGTTCTAGTTAGACAATGAAATGAAAAAAAGAGAATAAATAGCATACAGTTTTGGTACCGCTCAAACTTGGAATAAATGTTGAATTAATTGGTTATGATTTTATTTACCATTCCCAAGCGGTGACTTTACAAGGTGTATTTCATTGAATTTTCAATAACATCCACACTACAATATTTACTTATTCAGTCATTTGTAATCAAAGCAATTATTATGATAGTTATAAATTTGACAAATTAAAATTAGTTCGTCTGGAAATATGTATTGATTTATTCGCTATAACGTTGCGTAAGTTATATGACTCGAAAGGGCGTTGCTGCTCTTTGTTGGTGGTGGCAATCGTGACAACGGTGGGGGTGGCCTTGTGATGCGGTCAGGCAGAACATATTGCCCTTGACATTTATAGTCTTGTGGCACTAGAATAAGATGTTGAATCAATGTTGTCAGTGGTTTATTTATTAAACAATCTTTATGAGAGTGACCCATCCAGTTCATTGATAGATCTTTCGCCTCTCACATCGAGTAAAAGAAATTACGGTGCCTACTTGCTAATTAAAGATTTTATGAATATTGTTAAAATTGCTATACAGGTCCTAGACCTAAATTTATAAGAATTTAAATCTCATGTATTTGGAAATTTCTGGCATGCATTAAGCAGTTTGAATTAATTAGTATTACTTATAATTGTAGAGAATGGCCTTCATGAATAATGTATAATTTGTAATAATTCGAATACATGTAGGCCTATAATTATTTTAAAACTCAACTGAATTTTCAATCTTCATTGAATTGCTGTAGCCGCACACATCTGACTTTTATAAAGAAATTGACAAAAGTAATGTAAAGAAAAGATTTTAATTTTAAAGTATAGAATCGTAATATCATCTGCAAGCAATTTGCATTATAAATTTGGTTGATACATTAACATAATCTTCTGTTTGTGGTTTATTTGTTAAACGCATCAAATATCCTATATTTTGTGCAGTCAGCAATGGCGCCAAAGGTAATGAAGCTTGATATTTCTGTCCAGTTGCAAGTCTTTTCACTATATAAAAAAAAAAATGACTGGATTTAACTTTTCAAGAAGCAGACAGAACTCAGCAAATGCCTGTATGTGTAATTCAATCATAAATTTGGTCTGATTGTTTTTGGTAGTTGCATTTTGTATTGCCAGATATTTCCTAAAGTATTCAACAACTTGAAATTTGACTACCTGTCAAGACATCCTAATCCAAACCTGCCCTACATTTTTCTTTAGTGGCGTATCTAAGAGTATTATTTTATTTATTTATTTATTATTCTTTTTGACTGGAATAAAAAAGTACTGGCCTCCCAGTCCAGTTATTTTTAACATGGTTAAGAATAGAACCTTAATTAAAATTTACATAAATCAAAATACAATAATTTTAAATAATAAAAACAAAAAACAAAAAGCATATATAAACATGTAAAACATAAACATCGCATATGGGGTAGGTGATGAAGTGGGGAGGGTGCAAACGTTAGGGTGGACTCAAGGATTGAGGGAGATCTAGCTGACAAAAAAGGTGAAATGAGGTCATTTTAAAGTACTTTGGTGTCTGGGTGCATGGGTTGGGGAGAGCGACCCACGTTCCTAGTAGATATGCCACTGTTACCTGGTTTAAAATGTGTACTGTCTACGTTGATCTAATTTGCATTGCGTCAAACTGTAGTGGATAGTAAAGTGTAATTTTTTTTTTTTTTAATTCATTTACATAGAAATTTGTTAATTTTTAGTTTGTAATGAAGTTTCTAGTAATTCATAGAAAATTACTACCTGTACTACATCATAGAATTCTCCATCTGCAGTCTCCTTTTCATCTTAGTTTGACGTCAGACCATGTCTTGGGACGTGTATTACAAATTAGATTAGAATTGCATCATTTATTATGCATAACTGTATGGGTGCATACATACTAATTTTTTACGTTCACCTTTCTCAAAACTCTTGCTGAAACAGAATACATTTAAAATATACGCCCAAAATTTTCCGTGTACTGTAATTTTTGTGAACAGAAATAATTGTTTTGATAATGATTTACTTTTGATGAAGTACAAGATGTGCCATATTATAATAATAAATAAAACAAGTAGAGGACTATAGTATATTAAAGACTTGTTTTATTAACATGACACTAATGCTCTTGTTCAGGTGAAGCAGTGGTGATTATGACAGTTCGGCATCTGTTTTTCTCATCAGAGTATAATTTATAACCAATATGAAATTGCTATTAATATTAATAATAGGAATACAACAATATTAATAGTTTCATGTGCAATAAAGTATAGAACATAGGCTTAGTCTTTTAGACGACCAACAATTATTTAGGACGGGCAGTTTTACTGTGACGGCTTGGCCTAATCAATTCGGCCTAACCTAATTTGGCCTGGTCTACCTTTAGCGAATTCTTTATATTCTTCAAGTCTATCGAATGTTACATTAAACTAAAGTAAATCATATTTGCCGTTTGATAAAAACAACCAATGATTGAATGTACTTGTTTTCATACCAATATTGGGTGGGGATTCCTCTAAATGTAAGGCTTAACCATTGCCTACCCGGTGAAAAGTTCACAAACGACACACGTTGTGACGTGTTAAAAAACATTTATACAGCACTGGAAAATGGACGGTTCTGAGTTGCTCACAACACATGCGCGTGTGGCTCTGCAATTACAGTACTGTAAAATACTTGAGATTCGGTTCCCCAATATAATACAGTATGTTGGTGTTCTTAACTCTATGGTTATAATTAATAGGCCATGGGGTGAAAATCCTAACGTTCAGTCCCGTTCCGAAATTTTCCTAATACTTTCACTCATTATGATAATTATTATAATAATATTTAAAAGCACCAAAAAAAAGTTCGACCGTCAGAACTTCTGCAAATACGAGAAAATGACGTTTAAACTTACGAAGTACTACATCATAGAATTCTCCATCTGCAGTCTCCTTTTCATCTTAGTTTGACGTCAGACCATGTCTTGGGACGTGTATTACAAATTAGATTAGAATTGCATCATTTATTATGCATAACTGTATGGGTGCATACATACTAATTTTTTACGTTCACCTTTCTCAAAACTCTTGCTGAAACAGAATACATTTAAAATATACGCCCAAAATTTTCCGTGTACTGTAATTTTTGTGAACAGAAATAATTGTTTTGATAATGATTTACTTTTGATGAAGTACAAGATGTGCCATATTATAATAATAAATAAAACAAGTAGAGGACTATAGTATATTAAAGACTTGTTTTATTAACATGACACTAATGCTCTTGTTCAGGTGAAGCAGTGGTGATTATGACAGTTCGGCATCTGTTTTTCTCATCAGAGTATAATTTATAACCAATATGAAATTGCTATTAATATTAATAATAGGAATACAACATTATTAATAGTTTCATGTGCAATAAAGTATAGAACATAGGCTTAGTCTTTTAGACGACCAACAATTATTTAGGACGGGCAGTTTTATTGTGACGGCTTGAACGGCTTGGCCTAATCAATTCGGCCTAACCTAATTTGGCCTGGTCTACCTTTAGCGAATTCTTTATATTCTTTAAATCTAGGGAATGTTACATTGAACTAAAGTAAATCATATTTGCGTTTGATAAAAACAACCAATGATTGAATGTACGTTGTTTTCATACCAATATTCAGTGGGGATTCCCCTAAATGTAATCTTAACCATTGCCTACCCAGTGAAATGTTCACAAACAACACAAAT